CAGACTCTTAACCAACTGTGCCACCCAGGCACCCCATATGCTACTTCTGCTTTTCATAAACCTGTTTTCATTTTGTGAATTCACAATTCCTTTGTTCATTCCCTCACTAAACCCTTCTACTCACTAACATGCAGTGTATTGACAGTTGCTAAAGATATTATTTCTGCACTTATGAATTCCAACAGAAAAAAAGAAAAAAAAACAGGTTAACAGACAACTATTATGCAAAATTATATTTAATACTAATGATATGTTATAGTCAGACATGTGGTCTGAGATAAATCTTGAGGGATGAGTAAGATTTTCATCTTTCAAAAAAGTGGACAGACTAGGAAGCAGTTCCAACATCAAAAAGTGGGTAAGAAGGTATCAGCAAAACAAAACAAAAAAAAAACAAACTACAGTTTACTGTGTGTTTACTACATGCCACATACCATTTATATGTATCCTCACATTTCAGAAGAAACAGGCTGAGAGGTTACATACTTTACCCAAGGTGCTAGACGTGGACTAGCACCTAGGTCTTCTTCACAGCATGATTAAGTATGTATTGGAGTCAGAACTATCAAAGTAAGGATGGGATACAAGGCCACTAGTATCATTTTCAAGAGTTGGGCTTCCTTGTAAAGGCAATGGAGGATCCAGCAACTAAGTTTGGGAGTACAAAAACAACATACTAAAATATGGCTCTGACACAGGAAATTGGCGGAATTAGTCTAGAAAGTTTATAACAAAAGCCTACCTTGGCAAATACAAAAGAAGGGAAAGGCCAACTATGAGACATTCTTCTGATCCTACTTGTCCTCCTCTGGCTTTATTTCTCCCTTAACTGTGTAGTCACAGAACAGGTAGTCAATTTGTATTCTATTCATACCATAAAATTTTGTTACTGAACAACAGTAGTTAATAATGTAAATAATAGTTTAATAGTCTGGTCAACTGAGACGTAAAAAACTAAAATTAATATAAATGAATTACCTTTTCAAGCAAAAAGAAATTTTTTGCACAAGACACATTTTGATGATGGGAGCAACAAGATTCAGAAACAGACTCTAAGGAACAGAGCTCAAGGAGACAAAAGTTAACATAAAGCTGAAGTTAAAAACCAGGATAACTAGAATAATGGAAATAGAGAAAGAGAAAAATGAGCAGGAGATAGATTTCTGCCCCACTTGGTGTAGAAGGAAAGGGGAAGGGAGGGAGTTTATGAATCTACTCTTAGGAAAGTTCCGTATGAACACATCTCATTAACTGTCTCCTGTGAAAAGGACGAGCCAATAAAAATGTGTGACTAGTGCTCAGAAGGGACGTTAGGACTGAGCTATGTATTTGAGAAACGTTCATAAAAATGAAGCTATGGAAGTGGATCACTCTTATCATCAGAGAAAGATAGGAGGGGTTATAGGGGAAAAAAAAAAAACAAAAAGATTCTTTCCAACTAATAACTGTCTTCCTTCTGGAGCTCGGGAGTGACTTTCCTCTGTTAGGAGGGGTGTGAAACGTATTAATTCTCCCGCTTTATACTGTAATTTCACATAATTTCAAATTCACAAAATTGCTTTACTGTACAATGCAACTGACCCCAGGAATGGAAAACATGAACTGTTTTTGGCCTAGAATTTCTAAACAATGTAAAAAAAAATATCTCTGGGACGTGCTACCACAAATGAGTAACTTTAAAGAACATCACTGTGCTTCTTCAGATAATTTTATTTCCTATTAATCTAGTGGCCAAAGGTGAAAAGGTTATTAAATTTCATAGTGGTATACTCACAAAGCAATTGTACATGATTTTAAAAAACAAAGATGTTATTCTAGATGAATCTTTATAAAAATGCTTCCTACCTTAGTTTGCATATATGAAACTATACCAGTAGCATAAAATTTTAAAATGTGTAAATAATAAACTTTGTCCTAAAATAAACAAATTCAGTTTATAATGCAACACTATTAATGTTAGATATTTACAATTTTTAGTAAAAACAAAAAGAACTACTGTTTTCTCCTTTTCCGATAGAAGTTGTCAACAAATTGAAAACAAAGATAAAGCCAGAAAAGATCCTCTCATCCATTTTTAAGGTAGCGTAATTGTCACAACAGTACCAACTCTGGATTCAGACAGGTATAAATATCCCCTCTGCCTGGACACCTGGGGAGCTCAGTGGCTGAGCGTCTGCCTTCGGCTCAGTACCTGATCCTGGAGTCCTGGAATCGAGTCCCACATCGGGCTCCCTGCATGGATGGAGCCTGCTTCTCTCTCTGCCTCTGTGTCTCTCATGAATAAATAAATAAAATCTTTAAAATATATGTATATATATTCCCTCTGCCACTTCTTACCTAGGCATCCTTGGGTGAATCACTTAAAAGCTACTGAAACCTTATTTTATGTACCTGTGAAATGGTGTAATAAAACCTACCTCAAACTTACAAGATTATTAACGAATGTATGTACCGGTCTGGGCCACCCAATGTATGGGTACTATGTAAGTTAACAGATTCCCTTCTTCAGATCTTCAATCAATAATGGAAATGCCAACAGCTTAACAGTATTAAAAGTTTATTTTTGAAAATTACAAACAAGGTGGCAGAAAAAGTAACACGATTTAAATATTAGTTTTAAAATACCAAAAATAAATACATAAAAATAAAATACCACCTTTTAAAATTTTATTTGATTCTATACCCAACCTACTCACAAACGATTAAAAGAACACTTAAATAACTAAAGTGGCAAGTGTGTCAGCATTTCATTTCACCAGTTATTTGAATGTAACCCAGAAGTTTGGTCTTCTTAAATCACTAAATATAGCAATGAAATATATATGAAAATATCAACAAAATAATCTTAGGAAACAACAAAAACACCAAATTCCTTCAAATTTTCTTTTTTTTAAATTTTATTTATTCATAAGAGACAGAGAGGAAGAGACATAGAGGGAGAAGCAGGCTTCCTGCGGGGAGCCCGAGGTGGATGGGACTGGATCCCCGGACCCCGGGGTCATGCCCTGGGCCTAAGGCAGATGCTCAACCGCTGAGCCACCCAGGCGCCCCAAATTTGAATTTTCATTCATTTAGTCTTAAACCACCAAGTTGGGAAAGCTTGGAGAATTAAGACACTCTCCTCCCTCCTCTTTACGGAGTTTAGTGCCCTGAGAATGCCAGATAATGAGGAACCTCGTCAATTCATTTGGAGAAAACTTTGCCATTTTTAGGCCTTTACAACACACGGCAGGACTCTATTAACAGCCGCACTAAATTCTCTCTCCTCAGCCAGATTCTAGCCACTTGAACTACTAACCACTACTTAAGGACAGCAGAATGAAACCATGACAATCCCTTTAAAGACCTTTAGCACTAACTTTAAAGGTGTGTCCTCGGATCGCGAACATTTTCGGTGGCGAACTCATGGTTATTTAACCTATTATAGCACAAGTGCACGCTTCAGAGCAACTTTTGCATATACGGGGGATCTGCCTGCCAGGACCGTGAATTAGGGAGAACCTTGCAGTTCTCCCCATCTTGTCCTTTTATGATCACTTGCACCTAAGGGCTCAGAGGAAAGAAGAAGGGAAAGGGAAAGGAAAGGGGAAAGGGGAAAAGGGAAAAAGGAAAAAGGAAAGGAAAAGAAAGGAAAGGAGAAAGGAAAAAAGGAAAGGAAAAAGGAAAGGACAGGAAAGGAAGATTTCCAAAATCGAAGATGAGGCCCACTAATGCACATTTACATCGGGAAGGCGACAGGACATTACATTTTGGTGCTAGTTTACATCCCAGGCTATTAAAAAAAAACAAACAAACAAACAAACAAACAAAAAACTTGGAGCAGAGCTGCAATTGAAAATCTCCTTAGGCTTTACATTAGGATTTCTTAAACACCCTGAAGTGTGTTTCATCCGCGGCCGTACCGCTTTGGAACTTAAAATAATAAAAATAAATAAATAAATAAATAAATAAATAAATAAATAAATAAATAAATAAATAAATAAAGGTGAACACTGTGAAATTAAGAGTGGACGCTTCGAAAACTGTAACTGTCTCAATCCACAGATTAGGTCCCGTCACTTCTGACTTTGAGAAACGTCAAAGTTCTTCCGGGAAAATGCGGAAAATCAGTACGGCCCCCCCCCCCCGTTTCCCCCCCTTCCCCCTCTTCCCCGGGGAATGGGCCCTCCTCACAGGGAAAGGGTAGGGGGGGACTCAGAGACCCAGTTTTGGGATCAGATTCCTTTTTGTTCGAAATCGCTGGAGACTCTTGAGCCGTTCGCGAGGTTTCGAAGCTGGCGCGGCCGCCACCACAGCGGCGCCGGGGCGGCCGGGCCCGGGCGGGCGGCTGACGGCGGCGCGGAGCGGGGCGCGCGGGGCTCGCGGGGCGCGACTCGGCCGCCTCGCAGCCAACCGCCGAGCCGCACGGCTACAGCGACGGCCGGAAAAGAGAAACGGGAGACGGCGGGGGGGGGGGGGGGGGGGAGGGGGAGAGGGAGGGAGGGAGGGAGAGAGGGAGTGGGGGGGGAGGAGAGAGACTTCCACTGGGAAAGGAAAAAAAAAAAAAAGCGAAAAAAAATAAAAAAGCGTCGAGAACCAGAAAAGGAAGCGTTCTGGCTTCTGGGAGGAGGAGGGAGGGAGGAAGCGAGGGTCGGCCTCCCAGGCGCCTGCCCCCTCGGCCCTCAGCCCTCGGCCCTCAGCCCTCAGCCCGGCGGCAGCCGCCAGCCCAGGCCCCGCGCCCAGGCCGCGACCCGGCGCCCCCGCCCCCCCCGCCGCCCCCGCCGCCGCCGCCGCCGCCGCCGCCGCCGCCTCCTATTTCCAGGGCACACACCCTACAAGGCGCGGCGCGGCGAGGCGCGGCGAGGCAGGCCCGGCGCAGACCTGGCCCCGCGCGCGGCCTCCGTGACTGACAGCGGCAGGCGCTGAGGCGCCGCGGCGACCGGCGGGCAGGAAGGGCGGCCGAGGGCACACGCCGAGGCCCCTCCGCGGCCGCCAGCCTCCGCCGCCCGCGCGGCTCCTACCTTCTCCTCATCCGACAGCTGCTCCTCCAGATCCGCCATTTTCCTCCCGGCGACAGACCGCGGCGGCGGCGGCGGCGGCGGCGGCGGCGGCCACCTGACTTCCCCCTCGCGCCGTGCGGTCCTCCGCGCCCCGCGCGCCCCCGCCGAGGGAGAGGCCCGCCGCCCAGGCCGCCGCGCACGCGCCCCGGAAGCCCCGCCTCCTCCGCCGCCTCCGCCTCCTCCTCCTCCTCCTCCTCCTCCCTCTCCCCGCCGGCGCGGCTGTGCGCATGCGCGGGACGCCGGCCGGCGGCGGGGGGCGGGGCCGAGCGCCGGGGGCGGGGCGTCCGGGGGCGGGGCCTGCCGCCGCGGGTGAGCATCTGGGTCCCCGTCTGCGTCTGCGGCGGGTACATCCTGAGCCCATCCTGAGCGCATCCATCCTGAGCCCTCCGTCGTGTTCCCGTCAAGCCCTCGGCTCTGCCAGCCACCCGGGGAAACAGCGGACGAACAGAAGCTTTGCAAGACCATCTGTTTTCTTCAAATCACTAGAAAAATATTCCGTCTTTATTAAAATATGCACGCACAGCCCAGCCCACACTCGGGACCTTGCTCTTGGTACACTCAGTCGTGCATTCATGTAAAGAAATGTTGACTGGTCCTTTATCGTGTGCCGGGTTGGTCCCTGCAAATACACAAGGAGGAGGGAAAACCAGACACCTCCGTTCTCCAGAGGCTCCCTGTCTGCTCTGGAAACAAACCCTGAGCAGTTGGGGAAGGCGCTGTGCTATGGTGGGGGAAGACAAAGTTGTGTTAGAAGACGTGGATCCTACTCTTCTGAACTTCATGGCGAGGTTGAGATCAGAGAGCCCTGTAAAATTTGAATTTCAGATGAACAGTGAATATCGTTTATGCCTAAGTACCTCCCATGAAGCATTTGAGATGCACTTGAGACGGTGTTGGTGGTTTTCAGATTGTATGGGAACCCTTTACTTTGATTTGCAAAATCTGAGAAGCTTACTCGTGACATTTCAAGTTCAGCAAAAGAGTGAACATGTAGTAAAAACTGTGTATGTGAATTAGCTGGGGATCTTGTTAAAATGCAGTTACTGATTCTAGGAGGTCTGCGATGGGGCTGGAGAATCTGCCTTTATAACAAGCTCCCTCACACTTTTTAGCAAGGCCTGTAGAATTCAGATAGGACTTAAGACTTTATAATCGTTATGCTGTACATCTAAAACTAAATCAGTGTTGTAGGTCAACTATGTCTCAATTTTAAAAATATTTTTAAAGACTTCATTCAGTCAAGCGCATGAATTCTATAATTTCTTTTAGCTGTATCAAGAAGACGGTATTGGGAGATTTTTGAAAGGATTATCAGAAATTATACATAACTGCTGGTTGTGTCACTATGAAGAGACGCATATAAAGTATCACCAAGATTATGAAGATAGTGTGACTCAAATTATTGCAAAGCATTACCAAATTTGGGTGAGGTTTCTAGAGGAAAAGAGCAGCCTGTTAGTCAAACAACAGCATCTACTGAGAAACCCAGTGTGTACACATTAATATTAGGTGTTGCTAAGTAAACAGAAACAAACAAAAAAACAGAAGAAAGCGGTAAAAAAAAACCCAGAAGCAGAGTTGATGCAGCAAGTGGTGATGACTAAAACTGATAGTAATCAGTTGGAGAGAGTAATCACCTTCATTAGGTTGTATTTGGTGGAGAGTGCCTAGACTTTAGAGAGAGAGGAAGAAAGATCTCAAAGTGGCAACAACTTAGGATACAGAGTAAGAAGCCTGGATTCTTCTTCTTCTTCTTCTTCTTCTTTTTTTTTTTCAAGAGGCCTGGATTCTAATAGCAATTTAGTCGCTTGAGTGCAAACTTGAACAAATATTCAGCCTCGTTTTTTCCTCCTGTAAAATGGGTATAGTAATGCTGATAGATAGATACCTTACTTCGTGAGGTTGCAGTGAGAAATTGATGAAGCAATGAATGACCTGTCACCTAGAGAAGAATGAACATATTATTTATTTACATCCGATGAGGTCCCTGACCAAACCGTGTGGTTTATTCTCTATCATACCTTCTCTGCACCATTATCCTCAACAACACACCTGCTTTTTCCTTCACGTGTCAGCAAGCATCCCCTTCCTATTCTCTCCCAGAATGGACTATGAGGTTTTCAATAGCATGGTTTCTGTTTGCTTTCCATCCACAAGAAACAATGATTTGCATACTCTGAACACTCAGTAAATTACTTAATAGCAGTGTTTTCTAGATGTATAGTGACTTGTGTGAAGGTACTTTCACATGTGTCATTTACATGCAGCAAGATTGATCTTGCTGGGCATGTTTCTAATGTCATGTTACTGTTCAAAAGTTGTTGACAGCTTCTCATTTCCTACTGAGTGAAGGGATTTATTGGTTTGTTTTTATAAAGATTTTATGTATGTATTTGGGAGAGAAAAAATGCACAAGCAGGGGGAGCAGGAGAGGGAGAAGCAGGCTCCCCGCTCAGCAGGGAGCCAGACAGGGTTCCCTCCCAGGACCCTGGGAACATGACCTGAGCTGAAGGCAGACACTTAACCAACTGAGCCACCCAGGTGCCCCAAAATATGCTAGTATTCTTGATAACCAGTTATTTTATCATGAAAAGAAAACAAAATATTCCTTCCCGGCACAATCCTACCTACTGAGAATTTCTACCCTTTTCTTATTTAATTTCTAAACTTCTTTCTCCTACTTATTAGTGGTATAATCTTTGCCTTCCAAACTAATGGAACCAGAACCTGTTGTTTTTATTTTATTTTATTATTTTATTTTATTTTGTCGTGCTTGTTGTTAACTTCCTTGTATGCTTCTTAATCTATTCTCCTGTGGATGTGCTCTCTGTCTTGAACTAATCTTAAGCTTCTCCAGGTCAGAAGTTACCTAATTTCTTAGAATCACAATCTCAGAATGCATCTAGTGCAAAAGCCTCTCATTTTACAGGTAAGTTGAGCCTCAGATAAATTAAAGGACTTGAGGGACGCCCAGGTGGCTCAGGGGTTGAGCGTCTGCCTTTGGCTCAGGGTGTAATCCCAGAGTCCAGGGATCAAGTCCCACATCGGGCTCCCTGCGTGGAGCCTGCTTCTCCCTCTGCCTGTGTCTCTGCCTCTCTCTGTGTCTTTCGTGAATAAATTAATAAAATCTTTAAAAAAATTTAAAGGACTTGATAAAAATTGCACATCCAGCTGATACCGTTTTAGAACCCAAGTGTCCTGATAGCCTCATGTTCCTTTCTTAATACTATTATACATCTACATATAAATACATATACACATTATATACATATACATACTCATGTATAAGATATGTATATAACTTGGTCATGTGATGTATCATAAGATGGTAAATATTACTGACTGAGCGCTAAATGGTTGCACTGCACGTCGACGGCTATGACGCCACATGATTTAATCTCTGTATTGCAAAACTACTATCTGTAGTTTAAATGTGTGGCTTACCTCACTTCTGAGAGAACAACTACCAGTGATAGACAACTAATATTTGGCTGTTTGTTACTGTCTCATGATCAATGAACACAACTGATCTCAAGTAGTGTCCTTTGTGGCAGTAGAAAAGTGTCAAACATCATGTATAGTTTAAAATTGTCTTTCTAAATCAAGTAATTGCCTAAACTATTGATTACTTGTAGTTCAGAGTGTCCTATCTACAGTCCACTTCCTCAGCTATATTTGAAAAGGTTCAGACAAGTGACACCCTTGGAGAAGCCTGATGTGGATTATCCTAGTGATATCAAGAAATTATCAAAAAAGCTCATTTTTAAACTCTTCCTCTCTCTTGAATATACCATCCTTCATAATTTGATTCCTCCCAACTTCAACAACCCACCTCTACCCACTGCCCCCAATGTACATGTCATTGAAACACAAAAAGTTATTATTAAACTTAGGCTTCACACTCTCATTCCTTTCTTAAAGCAATTTCTGGAATGTTCTTTGCTACCCATCCTTTAAACTTCAGTTTTCCCTTTCTCCCACAAAACTCACACTGAATCCTCTAGCTAAAGCTAATACTTTCTTATTCTAGATTCTCACAGAAAGTTTTCTGTGAATTTTCTCACATATTCTAGTGGTTAGATATACAGACTTTATAATCAGTAAGTCGTTGGTCCTGATCTTGATTCCAGCTTAGTTAACAGGGCAACTCACTCTGGAAGCTTTGGTTTCTTCATCTATGCATTGAAGATAATAATGGTGCCTCCCTCTTAGGGCTGTTGTGAGGATTTAATGAGATACTACAGCCAAAGTGCCTAGCACCAGGCACAGGCTGTAGCAAAGTTCTCAATAAACATTAGCTGTAATCATCATATTATAATATCAATCTCTCCTTGAGGACGTAGCCTATTTCTTAATTGGCTGTCTGACAAATACGGAGTCTAGCACAGAAGTGTTTAAAAAAAATCTTTGTTGGAGATCCCTGGGTGGCTCAGTGGTTTAGCGCCTGCCTTTGGCCCAGGGTGTGATCCTGGAGACCCGGGATCAAGTCCCGCACCAGGCTCCCTGCAGGGAGCCTGCTTCTCCCTCTGCCTGTGTCACTGCGTCTCTCTCTCTCTGGGTCTCTCACGAATAAACAAATAAAATCTTAAAAAAAAAATCTTTGTTGGAATGCATATTGATTGAATGATTCTTTCATTTCACATCCTTAAATGGGAGCTGAAAAATTCAGCTAGCCACCCTTACGGGGTTTAGAGATTCCCCTAAAATGTGGCCCTGGGATTCTAGAACAGGAGAGCAAAAGTTTTCTCCAGCAATCCTCAAACAATAAACACACTCCTATCTCTTACTACTACATATTAAGTCACCAGTGAAACATCCAATTAATTTCCTGCTCTTTAATTTCTCAGTTACTGTAAATTCAAGGCTTCAGCATCTTCACAATGTCTGAAATGATGTACAGGGCATGCGGAGTCTTCAAGGTGATCCTTTAGGGTGAGGCAAGGAAACACTGCAACTTATTTTTACTTATTTGAATTATTATTACAAAATATGTGAGATACAAAAACAACAACAGCAGCAAAAACACAGTCTACTCCTTCCAGATCCCATTCATTTTCCTTCTTCCCATGGGTAATCACTAACCTGAATCTAATGTTCATCATTCCATATATTTCATATATGTTGGTTCTTTTTCG